ATCGTTAGTAGGAATGTAGCGTGAAGGGAGAACCCAGACACGGAAGAGCGAGCGTTGGGAGCTGTTGTTGTCGTCGTCGTCTTCCTCCGCTTATCGGGGTCCGGGTCGTGGGGGCAGCATCCCAACTAGGGAGCTCCAGACCGTCATCTCCCCGGTCACCTCCACCAGTTCCTCCGGCAGGATCCCAAGGCGTTCCCGGACCAGATTGGAGATGTAACCTCTCCAACGCGTCCTGGGTCGACCCGGGGGCCTCCTGCTGGCAGGACATGCCCGAAACACCTCCCCAGGGAGGCGTCCAGGAGGCATCCTGACCAGATGCCCAAACCACCTCAACTGACTCCTTTCAATCCGGAGGAGCAGCGGTTCTACTCCTAGCCCCTCCCGAATATCAGAGCTCCTCACCCTATCTCTAATGCTGAGCCCGGCCACCCTACGGAGGAAACTCATTTCGGCCGCTTGTATCCGCGATCTCGTTCTTTCAGTCATTACCCAAAGCTCATGACCATAAGTGAGGATTGGGACGTAGATCGACCAGTAAATCTAGAGCTCAGAACTCGGGCAGGGATTAAGAATTGATGACTGAGTGTGGTGTGTTGTCCTCCTCCGGCTTTTGAAGATGAAGATGATGATGTGGCGGGGATTCCCGGTAATGAGGGATGATGGGAGATGGAGTTCTAGGCTGAAGGTTTGCGTGCAGTGAGGTGGCTGGATGGAGTGGATGTGACGCTTCTTGCTCTTGACTCAAAAAAAAGCCCAAGTCTAAATAGTCCAAAGTTCATGCCAAAGCCTTTTCAAATGAGTCTTCTCCATCTTTGTTGTTTCACTCTGTCGCAACATCCCGCCCACCAAACCGATGGAGAGCTGTGACTAGCCCACCAAAACAATAGCCTTGTGATGAAGCGTGGTTAGACTGACCTGCAGAGCTAAATCATTTTGCTTGTGCTACTGTATGTCTACATTTCTAGGATAATCTTTTGTAGTTTTACAGAATTTGTTTATATTTTGTATTTAATCTCTTGTGTTTTGGGATTTGCTTAGAATTTTTGTAGTGTGATCACATTGGTCCAGTGAGCCACCAGAACATGTAGAAGCCCGCTAGTTTGTGGCTCCTTGTGCAACACTTTGGCTGACTAGTATAGCTTTAGCTATAACTGGTGAAACAAACAAAGGGGGAAAAAAATTGTCTCTGTAGTGTTTCTGTTCAACTAGCAGCAATTTGTTAAACTATCAGTTTGGCTACAAATTAGGGATGGAAATTATGTTGGCATCAATACTGGTATTGGCTGATGTTAGTCATTTGAACATATTGGTATTGGTTCAAAAAAATAAAACCAGGCCCACATTAACAACCGATATTTTTTCCATCTTGTCTCCATTTGTTTGCCTGTTTCAGAGAATGAGGAGGGTGATATGTAATTGTTTAGTCATGTGAACAGTCAATGAAATAATCTCAGAGCTGTAAATGTGTGTGGCGTGTGTACATAATAACGTTAATTCAGCTTTAATAATTTTCATTCTATACAAAATCTGCTGATTTTAGAAGCATTAATGTCAGTATATCGGTATTGGCAAATATCGGTTATCGGCCATAACAGTGATCTTGATATCGGCCCAAAAATTTCATATCGGTGCATCACTACCACAAATTTGTAATAATAAAAAAAGCTTTGCATCATAAATACACATTTGGTTTTCCATATAGGCAGCACTGCTGCATTTCTATGATCCTCTGCATAAACCTGAGTGATGTCTGGAGGGGAAACAGGTTGCTAAACAAGGTCAAACATGTACTAGCATTGGTAAACTCAACCTACCAGCTCCTGAAAAATGCACGTAATTATCATATACAGGTCCTTCTCAAAAAACTAGCAAATTGTGATAAAGTTCATTATTGTCTGTAATGTACTGATAAACATTAGACTTTCATATATATTAGATTCATTACACACAACTGAAGTAGTTCAAGCCTTTTATGGTTCATAATACTGATGATTTTGGCATGCAGCTCATGAAAACCCAAAATTCCTATCTCAAAAAATTAGCATATTTCATCCGACCAATACAAGAAAAGTGTTTTTAATACAAAAAAAAAGTCAACCTTCAAATAATTATGTTCCGTTATGCACTCAATACTTGGTCGGGAATCCTTTTGCAGAAATGACTGCTTCAATGCGGCGGGGCATGGAAGCAATCAGCCTGTGGCGCTGCTGAGGTGTTATGGAGGCCCAGGATGCTTCGATAGCGGCCTTAAGCTCACCCAGAGTGTTGGCTCTTGCGTCGCTCAACTTCCTCTTCACAATATCCCACAGATTCTCTACGGGGTTCAGGTCAGGAGAGTTGGCAGGCCAATTGAGCACAGTAATGCCATGGTCAGTGAACCATTTACCAGTGGTTTTGGCACTGTGAGCAGGTGCCAGGTCGTGCTGAAAAATCTAATCTTCATCTCCATAAAGCTTTTCAGCAGATGGAAGCATGAAGTGCTCCAAAATCTCCTGATAGCTGGCTGCCTTGACCCTGCCCTTGATAAAACACAGTGGACCAACACCAGCAGCTGACATGGCACCCCAGACCATCACTTACTGTGGGTACTTGACACTGGACTTCAGGCATTTTGGCATTTCCCTCTGCCCAGTCTTCCTCCAGACTCTGGCACCTTGATTTCCGAATGGCATGCAAAATTTGCTTTCATCCGAAAAAAGTACTTTGGACAACAATCCAAGTAGTAAACAGTCCAGTGCTGCTTCTCTGTAGCAGTTCCAGGTCAGGCGCTTCTGCCGCTGTTTCTGGTTCAAAAGTGGCTTGGCCTGGGGAATGCGGCACCTGTAGCCCATTTCCTGCACACGCCTGTACACGGTGGCTCTGGATGTTTCTACTCCAGACTCAGTCCACTGCTTCCGCAGGTCCCCCAAGGTCTGGATTTGGTCCTTCTCCACAATCTTCCTCAGGGTCCGGTCACCTCTTCTGGTTGTGCAGCGTTTTCTGCCACACTTTTTCCTTCCCACAGACTTCCCACTGAGGTGCCTTGATACAGCACTCTGGGAACAGCCTATTCATTCAGAAATTTCTTTCTGTGTCTTACCCTCTTGCTTGAGGGTGTCAATGATGGCCTTCTGGACAGCCGTCAGGTTGGCAGTCTTACCCATGATTGAAGTTTTGAGTAATGAACCAGGCTGGGAGTTTTTAAAAGCCTCAGGAATCTTTTGCTGGTGTTTAGAGTTAATTAGTTGATTCAGATGATTAGGTTAATAGCTCGTTTAGAGAACCTTTTCATGATATGCAAATTTATAGATAGGAATTTTGGGTTTTCATGAGCTGTATGCCAAAATCATCAATATTAGAAACAATAAAAGGCTTGAACTACTTCAGCTGTGTGTAATGAATCTAATATATATGAAAGTCTAATGTTTATCAGTACATTACACACAATAATGAACTTTATCACAATTTGCTTGTTTTTTTGAGAAGGACAAGTAGTGTCACTAACAGGATCAACGTGCAGATGTGTGGTGTTGCAGGCATTCTAAGACAATTGGGTTGAAAGTATTGCTCTCATGGTTGTGGGTTCTACTTCTCTTCTGTTCATTATCTGGTTCTATCTATTGATCCTTCATTTCTTCATGTTTGCTCTTTTACTCACACCTGCTTTATGCACCGACTCACTGGGGCCACATTCAGTCATCGACCCCTCAGTCCCGCCCTGGTTGCCTAGGAGACACGTCATCAGGAACCGCCAAGACGTGTTCATGTTCATGTTCTACCGAGGCGTGTGTTCTCCGTTTGTTAGCCGTTTAGCTAGCTGAGCAAGGATACACGGGAGGTATCTTGTAGCCTAGCCTTGGTCAAAAATTACCCAGAACACACCACGGTATTTTCAAAAGGATGGCGAATCAGGAGCCGGCAGCTACTTTGGGGACAAATTTCAAGTTTAAAAGCAAGTCAGCTAATTTAAAATGTTTTTTTTTTCCAGATCTAAATAAGTTATCTATGGTCTGTTAGTTGCTTATTAGTTGCAGCTTCGGTGGCTAGCGGGTATTAACTCGCTTATAATTTTAATTTAACACACACACACACACACACACACACACACACACACACACACACACACACACACACACACACACACACACACACACACACACATATATATATATATATATATATATATATATATATATATACACTATTAAAAAGGTAAAAAGATAATTATTTATTTATATTGAAACTAACACATATAAAATATAATGTGTCCTGTGTCACGTGACGTTACGTGACCACAGTGGAAGCCATGGTCAGGTGATGCAAGTCCGTTCCATTTAGCCGTATTCTTTGACCACGGAAGGACTGTCCTCGTAAGCAAGGAGCCTGGCCTCGCAAGACATCACCTTGCAAGGCTAGGTGCCTTGGCATTGAGAAACACCCCGTTTTTCCTGTCTTTGCCCTGTAGCCATTTTTGTTTACTCTGTAGCTTTTTGGATTCCACCTTCCTGTCTGCTTACTGCCGCAGGTTTCACTTGATGTTGGGTCTTGTTCTTTGGCAGCAATGACTGGTAATTAAAAGATATTAACCATTAAAATACTGGATTGGAGCAGCTGCTCCTCTGTTATAGAAGGCATCCAGTTATCTCATAGAAGTTTTTTCAAAGTACATCCCACTTGGAGAAGACCTAGGAGAGGATATTACCTTCTCTGTACTGGGAATACCTTGGGACCCCCTGGGATATGTTTAGGGTTAGCCCCTGGACCCATTTCCTCCACAACCTAAACTTGGTTACTTTCAACAAAAGGTCGAGAGAGGAGTGTATTTTAGATCCCAACACCACGCTGGAAAATGTAAAAGCTCTTCTTCCAACGGCATGCTTTTAAAGAAAATGCACTTTTTTACTCCGATGTTTGTTCCACAGCAGATGCTAAAATAAACCAGTCCTATGAGCCTATATGGTACTTAATCTTTAGAAAAGTGCTGTTTTACATATAGATGATTACAAATGAAACACACGAGAAAGAGTTTGATGTGTTGTTTAATTTTAGTGTCAAAATCAAAAATAACAATTCTCAAAAGAAGTAAAGTCGTAAACAACCCTGGATCTTTGTCAGCGTGTTAAAGACCTGGCGGAGTGTTTGTGAGAGAATAAAATCTCTGGAGCTACAAAATAACTTTACTCAAAAATAGTGGAAATGATAAGGGAGAGCACTCAACCCGAAGAGCTGAGTTATTCTACCTTTGCAGTGAGCCAAGAAGAGGAGGAGAACTTAGTGTTTTTTTATGAAGGTTCCAGAAAAGTTGCAAGTAAGTTCTCTGAATCGTAACTAAACACTTTGTTGCAGTTTGGAACGAAGAATCTACGCCTACTTGTTTGGACAAAAGGAGACGGTGCATGGTAGATTTTAGTTCCTCCAGTACGTGGAGGTTGTTGCTTGGTGTTCTCGGCTCTGCTTCCTGCAAAAACTTCTGCTAGCATGTGTCACAGACTTCTGTAACCGTGTCATTTTATTGATAATCCTCCATATAATGAATCACTATTGCACATAGCAGCCTGAATCGTCACTTCTCATCTTTGGCATGTAGAATGGATTTTTGCATCCTTGGGTAGATTTAAACATCAAACCTTCCAGGTTCACTGAACTTTATCCATATGATTCACTGGAACTGATTTTATAATAAAAGGATCTGGTTCTGACTGGGTTTGGGATTAAGTATTGACCACGAGTGCCTGATTTCCATTTTAAATCTGCTGGTTTGTTATAGTTAGATGCACAAATTTCTTGTTTTTGAGCGCTGTCTTTGTTTTTGTTGTCAGAAAGAACTTTTCAGTCTAACAAACGACTCACAAATACATCTGCTTCATGTTAAATGTGTTAGCTTATTGTGCGATGCTAAAGTTTGGGCGGCCTTGTTAATCTTTATGATTTTCTTGTATAAATCGTTGGTTATGATAAAAATTTCAGTTAAATACATCATATAGGAGACACTCAGTGATATTTGAGAAGGGAAACAACGTTTATAGGCTTAACAAAACTGTGCAATAATTTTTTTAACTAAATTAGGCCGATGCATAAATTTGGGCACCACAAAAAAGAAATGAACTGAATATTTAGTAGATCCTCCTGTTGCAGAAATTATAGCCTCTAAACTCTTCCTGTAGCTTCCAATGAGTCTGGATTTTGGCTGAAGGTATTTTGGACCATTCTTCTTTACTAAACATCTCCAGTTCATTAAGGTCTGATGGCCTCCAGGCATGGACAGCTCTCTTTAACTCACACCACAGATTTTCAATGATATTCAGGTCTGGGGACGGAGATGGGCGTTCCAGAACGTTCTGCTTGTTCCTCTGCATGTTTTTGGTCATTGTCTTGCTGAGAGATCCAGCCCTGATGCATCTTCAGCTTCGTCACTGATTCCTGGACATTGGTCTCCAGAATCTGCTGATACTGAGAGGAATCCATGCGTCCCTCAACTTTTAACACGATTCCCAGTCCCTGCACTGGCCACACAGCCCGCAGCATGATGAAACCACCACCATGTTTTACCTTAGGTAACAGGTGTTTTCTTGGAATGCTGTGTTCTCTCTCCTCTGTGTATAACACCTTTGTTATGCCCAAATAACTCAGTTTTAGTTTCATCAGCCCACAGCATCTTATTAATGGAGCTGGCTTGTCCAGATGTGCTTTAGCATACCTCAAGTGGCTCTGGTTGTGCTGTGGGTAGAGGAAAGGCTTCCTCTGCATCACTCTCACATACAGCATCTCAAATTTTTTATTGTAACAATCAACATGTTATACAGGAAAATCATGAAGATTAACAAGGCTGGCCAAACATTTGCATCCTGCTGTAGAAGGCAGAGGGTAGCAGACGTCCCCAGCCACCTACGTTAGCTTTCAGTTAGCTCGTAGCTACAGCGGCTCAAGGTTTGATGCCCCAAACTCACAGCCCCACTCCTAGCTCCATTGTTGTATTTCCACGTGACACGGCTAAGATGGTGGTGGTGGGAACCGCCCACTGGGCTTCAATTCAGCTCTTCAGAAACCTACTGGTGATGGCGCAGAGGGCTCGCCCGTAGCATCTAGTCAATGGTCAGTTTGTATGGGAGGAAAGTTGTACTGCACCAAAGCATTAGGGGGGCCTTGTGGTTTCAAACTTCTACATTTCTACATATTTTGGATTTTTTTGGCTAGATTCTCCTTTTATATCAGCTGTGCGACCCTCATCTGATAATCTACTAAATGTACAAACTTGTGCATTTCTTTGTGTTAGAACACATTTTAGCTCAACCATTTAGTTTCTGAAAATCCAGAGAACCAACTAACTTTACTGGAAGTAAGTTTACTTATTAAATCTATTAGATTGCACATACAGCTGCATCTATTAGTAATCTCTAAGCACTACTAGTTACCTGGAAGTGTCATTTTTATATAAAACCAATGCTGGCAAAAGTAAAACATATAACAAAGTAAGAAGCTTATGTGTTTGTAAACCATGGGAGTACTTTTTCAGATCAAACGGCAGAAATGAGATCAGGTAAACCAAATGTCTCGCTGTGTTATGCTCACACGCGCTCTTCCTTTAGCATCATTCACATCAGTAAAGCATCATCAACGATATCTACATTCGCCTCATTCAGAATGCTGGTGTCATAACTAAGAGAGCATAAAAAGTAAGGCAAAGCCAAAATCCTCCTCATCGTCTTTTACTGCCGCAGCTCTGGTCGCGGACGGTGTTGCGTGGCTGTACGGCAGCAGTAGCGTCGTCCCACGTCTTCTGGACATAGTCTCTATTGCTTACACTCCACTCCAGCACACCGCTGCAGCGGGATCCAGGTCATATCTGCACATCGCCTCCTCGGTCTCCCACAAGACTTCTGGTGTGATCGGGATTTGGTTTGTCGTGAGAGGAGATCTGGAACAGGTTCTGTGGCATGGCAGTGAAGCTGAGTAAAAGTCTTCATCCCTCACCATTCTCCCGACAGCAAAGTCTCCGACTCTACTTCTCATGGCAATTATAAACACTCAGAGCTAAAACAGCCGAGCCTGTTTCTTTAGCTCGTTCCTCTTCCACAAAGCCAGCCGGTCGAAGTCTTCCGTGGTCATACCGAACACCTGGGTAAACTCCTCTGGGGAAAGATGGCGCTAAAACACAGAAAGAAGCATTTTATCTCAGCAGAGCTCCCTGAAGAGTCCAACATTACCCTGTTATCACTTTCACACGAACAATCTTTTTATTTTTACTTATGGTTTAATTTCTGTGCAGTTTAGGAGAGAAAAAAATCCTCCTTTTGATTTGTCTTTAGTTTCTGTGTTCGTAGAGACTCGGCTACTTCTAACCGGCCTCCTCTTGCGTTCATCACTCACTTCCAGTCTGGCTCTGTCTACATCTTTGGGCAGCTTGTGGCGCCCTCTGGTGGTGACAATAAGTGACTCGTAGGGGTAAATCTGCAGAGAAGCAAAAAGTAAACATTTTAGAAAAAAAAGTTTCTTGATGGAGTTTTTAAAATATGTTGTGTATGTACCTTGTGTTCTGCTGGAAGAAAAGAGAGAACAACCATTAAAGGGAACAGAAGAACAAAAGGCTGCTGCTGTTAAGTCTGGTTAAATGTACCTCTGCTGGCCCAGTTCACCTCACCGCCGCAGTCGTACTGGTACTGGTAGCAGTCTGCACTCTGAGGCTGCAGGTGCACAGGAGGGATTAGTGATTAACAAACCTAAATGGCTTAGGAAAACAGACTAATATGAAAATGGGTGAAAAAGCTACTGGAAATAAGATCTGTTGCTGCAAAACATGATGTCATGGTAACGGCAGCCTCACCCGTTGAATACCATTGCGCCCATATCCTGGAAGAGAGGCTGACTTACAACCAAAATCTGTTGACAAGGAAACATGATCAGCATGTTAAAGATTTTTCAAATCTAATAAAGTCATTTTGAATTTTACTTTGTTTTATTTAGTCTTTAAATTGTGTAATATTGTCATGGCCAGCAGGTGGCGCCCATTACTAACAAAAGCGAATTAAAGTTCCAGTTGTGTGGAGAGTCCTGAGCAAGGGCGTCAGTTTGTTTTCAGAATTGCTGGGGACAATAACCATACACTTGAGTGGGGTTTAAAAATTGCTGGGGACAATAAAGTAGGCTAGCACAGGGGTCGGCGGCTCTGGAGCCGCATGCGGCTCTTCCATCCATCTGATGCGGCTCTGTGTTTGTAAAATAATGAATGGATATTTAAATAAAATGCTTTATATTTTACTGCATTAATTTTACACCTGTATGCCAATTCTAAATGTAAAGATTGTCTGCGTAAACCTGAACAGGTCCAACCCGGTCTTACTGTGAGACCGGGTTGACGCGTCACGCTTGTGCGTAATCATAGGCGCTTTATTAGCTGAAGACGATGTGAGATTCTGGGATTCTCCTCAGACGGCTCCTGGATGTGTCGCCACATTGGAGACGGGAACAAGCACTATTCAGCCAAAGTTTCATCATCAGGGAACATTTTCTAAGTGACAAGTCTCTCTGAGAGACCGGGTTTGGAAAACACTCGCTTCAGTGGGAGGAACCTTCCCACATGCGCTCTGGGTGGCTCTGGGGTTAATCAAGTTTAATTGTTTCTCTTTGCAACAATCTTCACAAGAAGGCAAAACAGTTAAACGGCAGGTTACATATATTTCCATTTGACTGTTTATTTTGACAGATGAACTCAAGGATGTTGCTTGGTTTGAAAGAATTACCCCGACGCACACTGATGCGCATGGATGAGCTGACATTTTAATCGTTAACGCACATCGCGGAGGTAAAAGATTCCCATCAGAACATCAGAGCTTTATACTGGACACTGTGTTCAGCGTGGCTCGGAGCGCCCACGGTGGACAGTGAGCTGAAGATCTGAGGGGTTCGCAGCGCAGCGCAGAACCACGGTGCATGCAATGATTTCCTCCCACTGAAGCGGTCTGGAAACCCGGTCTCTCTGAGGGATGTGTCACTTGGAAAAATGTTCTTTTTATGAAATTATGAAACTGGCTGAACAGCGCTTGTTCCCGTCTCTAATATGGAGACGCATGATGCGTAGAGACATTTGATCACGCACAAAGTTTATGTGGAGCAGAAGCGGTCGGGCCACGGCAGGTGAAATGTTCCTAGCCTACATGAAGGGAAACTGTTTAATTGTAACATTAATACGTTACTGGACACGCTGGTCTGGTTGGTTAGACCAGTGTTTGAAGTGGAAAACACACACACACACACACCAATTAAAATATATGCTGATAGCATGGACTAGAAGACAGGTGATGGTTTACGTATTTAAATGATGATCAGGCTGCTGTAAAATGTAATCTCTATCCACATCCAGACAGAATCATCCTCTATTCTGTCTCTATTTGCTCTGCTCTTGTCTGGGCTGATCAGCTGATGGCGCGCCTAACTAGCGGCTGATGCACATTTTACGCATTTGGAGAGGTGGGCTGGATGCTGTGCGTTTACTGGAAGATGGTCCACTTAACGCACGGGTGTAGACTACATATTAATGACAAATGAATGAAAATTAAATTGTGAGTTTTTACTTCATATTTTATAAATAAAAATGACGGGGGAAAACATTTATGACGTCTTTTTAAACTAAATTTTCTAGCGCGACCTGCCTGCTTCACTTAAGTCACTGCTTATTAAGGTCCGTCCAGAATTACTGTGGGAAACGGGTAATAATGGCTCTTTGATGGGAATAGGTTGCCGACCCCTGGATAAGATCTGAGCTGGTAAAACAAAAATCCTCATCAGCAGGCGTTTTTGAAAGTGGGGGGGGGACACAGCTGCCAATCACAAATTTTGCCGGGGACATGTCCCCGGCGTCCCCGGTTAAAATGACGCCTATGGTCCTGAGGCCTGGGTGGTAATTCCAACACAGACGTGGGATTTACGATCCAGAGCAAGATGTTATTTATAGAAACCAAAACCTCATCATGCAGTAAAAGAAGTATTTCTAGTCTAATAAATAACAGGAACTCACCACTGTCAGTGCTGTACTGCGACCTAAGAGCTGTGAAACAAACACATCAATCACATCATTACCTAACCCTCCCGTACAGAAACAATCAGCAGCACTATTTAAAAACCGATTTAAACCTGCAATAAATACATTCATGTAAACGTGCAGAAGTTTGATAAAAACGTGTAAAAGGCAAGTTATGGACAGATGAAGACAGGAGTGTGATCTTTGTTCGACCGTGACCTGCTAAAAGCATTTGGGTTGTATCTTAATTACTTAAAAAACACAACTATTAATAATCCTTTAAAAATCTTCAATTACTTCTAAACTCAGGAATCTCCGAGTAACTAAATGAAAGAATCACTGCGAGCACTTAAAGAGTTCAAATACATGAGTACTTGCTGCTTGGTTACAGTGTCATCGTGAACTTAGAGGAAACCAGGCATGCTTTTAGCACCCCCTAGTGTCCTTGTGTAGAATCAAAATCTCCTCGCTGTGCGTTTGCCCTCTCCTTATTCTGCTCTTCCTACTGACGTTACCTTTCCCAGGATCCTTACCTCTTTCCTTTCCCTTACATTTTTTATCACAATTATTTTTCCATTTTAACCATATAAAAAATCATAAAAAATACATCTTTTTGTAATTAGTTCTTCTGAAGCACCTCGTGATTTTTATCTTGAGAGGCGCTATATAAAGATCCTTCCTTCCTTCCTTCCTTCCTTCCTTCCTTCCTTCCTTCCTTCCTTCCTTCCTTCCTTCCTTCCTTCCTTCCTTCCTTCCTTCCTTCCTTCCTTCCTTCCTTCCTTCCTTCCTTCCTTCCTTCCTTCCTTCCTTCCTTCCTTCCTTCCTTCCTTCCTTCCTTCCTTCCTTCCTTCCTTCCTTCCTTCCTTCCTTCCTTCCTTCCTTCCTTCCTTCCTTCCTTCCTTCCTTCCTTCCTTCCTTCCTTCCTTCCTTCCTTCCTTCCTTCCTTCCTTCCTTCCTTCCTAGCATTCATTAGTGTCTATAGGAGCGGTTCATCACTAAATAAACAAATCAGCTGTGTTCCTGATCTAAAACATGCAGGGAACGTGCTGGAACTAGACTGCAGCGCCAGGTATGTCTGCTCGATCGTCAGAGGTTGCAAGTGGAATATTCTTGGGGGGGGGGCATAGTGGTCTTTCATTAAAGCTGTAATCTCTAGTGGATCTACAGTTGGTTTTTCTGCACGTCTTTAGTAAATTAAAAAAAGAAACTTAAAGAAACCAGGGAAGAAAATGTGAAAAGAAAGACCAAAAAGAGAGAAGAAAGAAAGAACTGCATGCTTTAGCATCATCTTCTGTTCTTCGTTTCCTCTCAAACTGAGCCAACTGAGTTGGGGTTCCTCCAGTTTGACAAACAGCTCTAATGAGATCTTACTGCCCATGAATAAAGCAGAACAGCTGTGAGCACAAGCAGAACATGCATGCAGAGAACCATGGGGAAACATGTTGCAGCATCTATAGAGAGCATTTCTGTCAATAGAAAATAAACAGATCCTTTCAAATTCAGCAGAATACCTTAAAATAATCTGAATAATTGACCCAACTTGCTATAATTTATTTCCCATGAACTTCAATTCTGCAGTAGTTTCTGCTCTAAATAATCTGCCTCAAGGTCTATTTAAAGCTCAGCAACCACAGCGGGAATGCTGCACGGACATGCACCCCGAGGTGCAGGTGGGATCAGGGCGCGTCCTTACAGCCGTTGATAATGCTGCTGTACGCTGTGGTCCCGTAGCCTGTTGTGTTCAGCGTTTCCTTGCTCCCACTAGGAGAATTCCTTGCGCTGCCCCAGGGGTCGTTGTCATAGGAACCAGATCTGGCTTTCATCTCCTCCTTTAGGATCATCCTCCCAATGCCACTCCCAACCTTGCATGAAGAGAAGTGGAGGAAAAATAAAAAGGTTATTCTGGCAGGTTCCTGAGGGGAGAACTCACTTTAATCAGATGCTGAAGAAGGAGACGAGAAATAATGAAGCTCTTACTCTTTGAAGACCCTGACTCCAACTCTCTTCATCTCCTCCTGTAGAGAAGCGTCTTCTCGGCACCCGATAGGCTGAGAAGGAAAAGGAGAAGATAAGAGAGATGTATGAAAACCAAGCTCAGAGAGGGAACACAAGAAGAATGTGACAACACGGTAACAAAATGAGCGGTGTGCTTGTGTGTTTGCTTCGGACAGAACAGAATGTGTAGGCCTCACCCCGGGGGGAGCTGGTGTAAGAGTAGTAGTCTGACTCTGACTGCACGTACGGCTCAGGAGAGTAGGTGGACAAACTGGAGGATCGGAGGAGGTCCTCGCTGGTTCTGCTTTTAGTGGCTGACTCCAAGTGATTGTCTGGAAGAGTAACGACCAGGTTTAAAAAGAAAAAAGCAGCTGATGCTACTGCTGGAGGAATCATTTATGAACGCATTCACGTAAAAATTAATGCTACTTTCATTTAGACTGAAAAGTCTGGACTCTACAAGACCACCTTAACTTAGCATTAAGACTCTTTTATGATTACCATAGCACTAATTATTTTACCCCATAAATACTTTTTTTGGTGCAAAAACAGCTGTGTCATGTAACGGGTGCTAAAACACCATACTAATTCCAGTTTTGGTTCTTTTTTAAGACACAGGAAAGGTTTTTCTTTACCTTGCTGACGTTTCATTTGCGGCTGCAAACTTCCTCAGAGCTGATGCTGATGGTGGCGTCACTTCCTACTCCGTTTGTCCGTGGGCAACAGACGACGTTGTCGCCCTCTGCTGCCCGCTCTCCCCTCTCCGATGATGCAGTCCCATGCACGATCCAATGTGTAGACCCCACCGTCCCTGTTCATGGTCCCACATCCACGTCTCCTTATCTCTATAGCTTCCTTTATCCATCTTTTGTGTTTCTGTTGTTCTGTGTTTATGATCCTTGTGTTGTCCCAGTCCATTATATGGTTTTCTCTTGTGCAGTGATCTGTTACGGCTGACTTCTATGTCCTCTGCTGCCCGCAGACAAACGGAGTAGGAAGTGACGCCACCATCAGCGTCAGCTCTGTTTGCAGCCGCAAGCGAAACGTCAGCAAGGTAAAGAAAAACATTTTCTGTGTTTTAAAAAAGAACCAAAACTGGAATTAGAAGTCAAACACAGCAAGAACGTACCAAAGATGTTTAAAACACCATACTGATGGAATTCTGACATTGTGGAATGGCCTCAATCTCACTGTTGATAAAGTTTTATTTTGGGGGGGAAGGGGGGGGGGTGGACCCAAGGAATTGCCTCACGTGTTGAGGACGCAGCGTGACCAAATATGGGTAATTGAGGGTGTTTCTGTATGTAAATGACTGAGAACAGACACAAGCACCTGGGATTCATCATCAGACGAGTGTGGAGGAACATGCGTACGAGCGGCCACCGAACGTTTCATAAATCAGGTTTTTAACTGTTCGTACACACATTCTAAATGTCATTCGTAGGAAGGAATATAGGCCCGTTTCTACGAACGCTTGATAAATGAAAGCCCAGGGCTGCACTTCGGGCGTGCCTGCTTCACACGGAAGACAGGGCCTAATGCCTATTCAGCACCACAGCCACTAGGGGGCACCTATTTTTGATGTAATCTTCCAACAATGTTCCCGTGTTTATTTGATGGTTCCATTTGTAGTCAGAATTTCACAGTTCAGTGTCAGAAAATGCAACTGAAATAGCAAGCCAGCATTCTGGCTGAGACTCTAACGGCTTTTACTCACTAGCATCAGCTCCACTCCGCCTGGTCCGGGTTGGGAGTTTTCTCATTCAAGTACCTCAAGCAGGTCTGTTTGGAGCTGAACAGGGCCGACACGCCCACTGCCGACTAATTGGCTGGCTCAAAAGCATGCCTACCATTAGAGGGAGCATCCGATTGGTGGATAGAATCAGCCTGCGGGGGCTTCCCGCATGCATGTTTCATTATCATTCTGGATGCTGTGGAGTTAACAAGCATCTGACTGAAGCAGTTCTTCTCTGTCCCTCACTGCTGTGAGGAGGCACACACACACACACAATGGGCGAGGTGGAGCTGATGCTAGTGTGTAAGTGGCATAGATGCCACACAGATGGAGCATTATAGAAAACTAAACCAAACACATAATGATTGTGACAAAAGTACAGATCCAGAGAGAGGGAGAGTGCTTCTAGACTACTAATTCAGTCATCATATCCACCCTTCCTGTCAGAGCAGCTCAATACTTTACCAGCAGCAGGGAAATAAGTTGCATTAAAGTGGGTTCAGTTACAGCTCAGCCTGAAGCGCGCAGTCGTTTTATGAGCACTGCAAATGCAATGATACTGATGCCACTCTGCACCCATGCACTCAATGAGATGTCGGTGGGAGGGAGGGGGAGGGGGGTACATGCAGTGTAATGTCACACTCCACTCCACTAGCCATTAGCTATGCCAGCCCTCCCCTCCCCACCCATAACCCACCAACCTCTGGGTTCCTATATGGGCAACAAGGTTCTCATGTCCAGAACAAATTCAGCTCAGCTAAAGACCACAGACACAAACACACCCATCCACTGAGACTAGGTTAAACAGATACTTACAGTGGCAAGGTCACCGCGTAAAGTGGAGCAGGGGGTGGAGGGAAGGGAATAAAAGTGATTGGATGCAATAAAAAGGGAGGCAAAAAGAAAAGGGAAACATTATTGGAGCATCCCACGGGGAGATGTGAGAATATGAAAGGTTTGCTGCTCAGACTGAGAAAAAGACTCTTACAGCCTTTTTTTTGCACAAGTAGCAAAGTAGCTAACTGATTAGAGCATAACTGGCCTTTATTAGATTAATATACCACAGGTTCAGCAGTTGAAATAGGAAAAAAATATTAGTCAATATCTTTAGCGGTGTTTGAGATGAGATACACGTGAGTTCTCAAAGTGTCGCATTTTAAACCTGCAGCATGACACAAACATGCTTCATTACTCCGAAACACCCAGACCAGTGATGAGCTAATCTCGTAGCTGAGACACACAAGAAGGAGACGACGTCTACGACCCAGAATGACACAACCATGGTCACAAGGCTGCTTCCTACGTTTTATGGTGGCTGACTGCATACACTCCAAAATGTTATGCAAGGGTGATCAGATGAATCAACTAGAAGATCTCTTTTTGTAAACTCAAGCTACTGCATTTGGAGCCCAAGACTTTCCATCAACACCAGGGCTGTCTGGTACAGCTGATCCAACTGCAGGATTGGGGCACCACTACAACAGATCTTGCTCAGGAACGGTATCGGTCTGGATTGAATGCATCTGAGTAGATTTTTTAAGTTAGCCTGGGGTCAAGAAAGGCTGAGGCCAATTCCCCCAAAGAAAACCACCAGGGACAGACTGATATCTTGCAAAGGTCAGGGGGTTGGATTACAGATGACTGAAGGAAAGCCACTTTCTCTGAGAAGAGATTGCCCAGAGAAGATGAGGTGACCTCTACCATCAGCCTGTTGAGATCATTTGTGTGTGGCCAAGGAAGTGGAATCAATCACAGTTTGGCCTTTGAACACATCCAGGAATAGAGTGGCACCAAAACATCCTCCCTGAGGGACTCCTCCTAGCCACTCAACAACAGTTTTGTTATGAGCCTGGTCTTTTCCATCAGGACAGAGCTCCACACCACAAGGCTAAGGTAAGAAAAAAGGGGCTCAGGGAACTAAACAAACATCAATATTCTGGTTCTGTGTCCAGGAAACTCTCCAGACCTTGAATCCCTTGAGAACTTGTAGTGAATAATTGAGACGCAGGTGGATAGGCAAAAAAATAACAAAAAAAGGAAATTCTTACAAACGCCAAACACTGATTATGTAAGAATTTACTGTCGTCTGTCAGGGTTTGGAATCAGATTTTGATTCAGAGTGTGAAGAGCACAGAGCCCAAACTACAAACGCTAATCCTGAATGTAACAATAACACCTATGGAAGGATTTAGCTCAATAAGCAACAGACAGTAAAGCAGCAAACTGGGTGAAAACCAACACGTGTGTCGTTCTCCACACTCACTGACATGGTGTTCACACACACACACACACACACACACACACACACACACACACACACACACACACACACACACACACACACACACACACACACACACACACACACACACACACACACACACACACACACACACACACACACACACACACACACAACAAAACAAATAAACTAGTCAGCAGATCCTGTGACTGTCAGCTGAAGAGGCTTTTCGGGTTTAGCATGACGGGAGGACACTGAACCTATTCTTACATGCTGCAGCATGCTATCCAGATGACTGAATAGCATCTGAGTTTAATGACTTAAGGTAGAAAGAAATCACATGAGAGATGTTTGAATAATCAGCATAAACTAGCGTATCCCTCCTGCAAAAGCTGGTGTTTTCTACAATCAGAACAACTGTTTAGGCTCTCTGGAGCTGTAAGGATCCACTCAGCCCCTTAAACTGCAAATAGATAGAAAAAGGAAGACTGATCCACCCAAAAATAACAATTCTTGGTTTAGTTTTTCCTCCATGCTTTGCCATGTATGCCACACTCAGAACACCTGAGAACATCCTCAGTTTATTTACGACCGATCCGCTCTATTCCTATTCTACCTTTAGCTGATTTTTTTCTTTTCGTTTGAAAACAAGCTCTGCAAGTCTCATCGGTGTCTGTTGTGACAGTTAACGCCAAACACTGATGCCAAGCAGCACCACAAGTTCAGTTAAAAAAGCAACATCAAACGTCAAACACAGGAGGACTAAACTGACAGGACGGGCAGGCTGAGGCAAGACTAGCTGCACTGTACCCGTTCTCTTATAGATGGGCGGCTTCCTGTAGATGTTGTGGTCCCCTGTGGCTGAGGAGAGAAACAGGAGATGAAGACGTGAAACGTGGTGGAGAGGATGTAAATGGCTGATGGGGTGATGCAATGGGAGAAGGAGGTGGAAGGAGGATGAGGAATGGTTGAAAACAACATAAAGATGCAACAACAAAGTCGAATTGCATCTGAACAAATGAGACCGGAGCTTTTTAATGATTTGCTTTAGCGGAGAGTGATGGAATCCAGGGAGAAGTTGAAACTGGGAGTGTTATAAAAGCATCAGCGAGGAGATGAGAAGTCCTACCTGGAACATGAAAATGTTTGGGGGGCTGGTTTGTGGTGGGTGTGCTTGAACGCTCCTCTTGGCCATAATAAGGTGAACTCCTGCCACTCTCTGAGCCTGCAGGCAGCCACAGCCAATCACAGCACAGGAAACATGAAGAAAGCACACGCAGAGCTAAACTAAAGGGCTGGAATTTTTGTTTCCATTCAGAAATAAACAACACTAAATCACATTTCCTCCTGCATCATGTAACGTGCTAGCAGTAGTAGTAATGAAGAAGGTGGTGAAATGACAGTCGGGCAGCAAATGCGGTAAACGAGGCAACCAAACAAGGAGGAGGGGACTCTACAACAGGGGTGTTCAAACTTTTCAAGGGCCAAAATAATCAAGTCAACTTTGCAGACCACAAAACATTTTTTCTTTCTATTTCCAAAAACAAATGTGTATGTATACACTCCCAGGCCCAAAGAAAGGAGCCTCCTATTGGATGATTACTGCATGGGTGCCAACAAGTAATTTAACCCCAACTGGTGCAATGAGTTGTTTCTCATTTCTTAAACAACCAGGTGGAAAGACACATCTGGTGGTCGTGAAAAAGACGTTAAGTCTGTTTAAGGGTCGGATCACTGGCGTGCATCAAGCAGAGGAAACATCTTATTGCAGAAACGACTAAAAGTGGGTTAAGAAGCGTCCTACGCTTTACTAAACACTGATCCAATGAGTCACGATGGACCCTGTTCCAGAGTGATGGGCGCATCACGGTGAGAAGAGAGGCAGAGGAAGTGATGCCTAGTGCCTGGCCTGCCAGGCTCGTCCTCTGTTTAATTCTACACAGAGAACTAGTCTGGTTACTCACAAGCAGAGAGCACCATGGGGGGGGGGGGGACTAGCCAGCTCAAAAATAACCAGTCAGAAAAAAGGTGGTAATGCCGACTGTACCTCTAGTCTTTTAGCTGTAGTTAAAAATGGCATCTGGCGAGGAGGAAAGAGCCGCAGCAACCTCCGCTTCAGATGCTGTCTTTGTTGTTTATGAGAAACTCATCATCGAGGTGTGTGATGTATGCTGCTCGGCACTGACTGACTCAGTTAGAAATCTTAGGGGGTGGGGTTATTTAAATAGGGGAGTTCCCAGACCTGGTCAGGCTGGTCAGACTACATGCCTAGTGCCTACTGTACAAGCCTGTGGGGGCAGGGCTATGATCTGGGATTGCTGCAGTTGGTCAGGTCTAGGTTCAGCAACAGGATGTGCTCCAAGAATGAGGTCAGCTGACCTGAATATACGGAACGACTAAGTTATTCCATTTTCTTTGATGGCACGGGCATATTCTAACATCTGTGGCCAGACTATCAGAGTACTACTCTACATCAACAATCTGCTTATTATTCTATGAGAGCAATTTGGGGTCGCATGAAAGAATTGCAACGGCCACAAATGGCCCCCGAGCCACAGTTTGGACATGCCTGTTGTGTAATCTAAGGTGTTCTCTGAAAATGACAAAAACAGATGAAGATTAGACGCCTTGCATTTCCTGAAGGAACCACCTTTTATGCTACGTTTTTATTTGAAATAATTTTATACTGAAGAGACGATTGGTCTCGGAAAATGATGTTAAACTCAATCCTACAATACTGTAAAATTAGACATATTCTGTTTGCAGTAGTACGCCTAAGGCTACTTCCACGCCAAATCTCTCCTCAAACGCCACAAAACTGATCGAGCTGGAAGCCAATCTTGTGTTTGTCACAAAAATAATTACAAGTAGGTCTTTTGGGAAACACAGTCATCAATAAAGGCAATTGAATTTAAAAATGTTGGTTAAATGTTTCACCCAAATCCATCTTTCTCACCAGGGTAGACAAAGTGCTGAGGAGAGCGAGGCATGATGGGCGACATGCCCTGACGACTATACTCGGGGGAGTCGATATAACCTGGACTGCAGCTCAGGCGCCACTTTGCATCCAGATTGTTGTAGTCCTAAGAAAGAGACAGCAGCTGAGTTAAAGCGGAGCGGAGAAGAGCAAGAAGACATGCTAAAAAGTGCCTGATGTCGGAACTTGTTTGTGATATTTACCTGAGAATACGGAGAAAGTGTTCCGAGTGACTGCAAAATCAGCAAAAACAGAAGGTGATGCTTTGGACTACACAAGAACAACAAGAAATATAACCACCTGTGAACTGTTGAGAGCACGGGTAGGGAACCCTGGTCCTGGAGACCCCCTATCCAGCACATTTTAGAGGTTGCACTGCCTTAAAACACCTGGTTTTAATCAGCAGATGATTCTGCATGAACAACACAGCAGAGCCTGATGAGCAGTTGAGCAGTTGACCAAGGCCCTGTCCACACGTAGCCGGGGATCTGCCAAAACGTAGATATTTTTCTACGTTTTGGCCTGTCATCTACACGAAAACGGAGTTTTTTCACACGAAAACGGATCTTTTTAAAAACTCCGGCCAAAGTGAAGATCTGCGTTTTCTCCGTTTTGGGTGTCTGCGTGTGGACGGACAAAACCGGAGTTTTAAGGTCCACAACGTCACTTTCCGCGACAAAAAATGCTGACATCACGTGTGCGACCTGTCTTTACACTAGCCGACAGCATGGATGCCCTCAGAGCTGCGCTGGCTTTATCAATTGTCAAAGCGCTTTTTGCTTGTTTGTTTTTGCAAGCGGAATTACTGCTCCTTGCGGAAGACCACAGACGAAGGATGAGGTTAAGAACGGGGGAAGTACTGCCGCCTACAGGTCTGGCATGTCCTTAACAACGTATTTATCTGGGTACATGTGGACAGTTTTTTTTTTAAACGAGGTGGTGTGGATGCAAGTTTTGGGAGGGGCGGATATTCGTTTTTAAAAAACCCCGG